CATATGTCTTTTTAAAAACTTCTCCCTTTTGAATGTATATATTATTTAAATTCTGTTACCTTGTTTTTCCAAGTTCCACAATGCAACATCCGTAATCGGTTCCAAATGAGATCCTGATGTTCCGATAATCATAGGTTTGTCTGCCATCCAGCCGCTGTAAGCACAAATTCATTCATTTATTCCTTCAACAAGTATTTCTTAAGCAATTACTTTTTCTGGCTCTGGGCTAAGCACTTGGAGGAAAGTGAAATCCTAACCATCCCGCCCATATAGAAAAGCGGAAACTACAGCACAGACAACTGCTGGGAGCCTTGAAAAGAACCTGTCGAAAAAACAATAATAAAGCCTGAGGGTTGGGGTGCACCCGCCGGTCGCTCCCCTAGTTGCTCCCCCGGCCCAGGCGGACCGGGTTATGAGTTCACACCTTGGCGCCCAAGCAGCGCGCCAATTCTGCAGGGACCAAACCATACCTTCTTCTCTTCGATGGCACGGAGTAGGAAGCGGCGCTCGCAGTTTGAAAGTGGCGTTTCCTTCATGGTGTTGGGTCCCGGGTCCCACTGGCACTAAAATCCGCGGGGGAAACGGAACGTGACTCCTGAAGCGCCGCTGCCGGTCCCGCGGCGCAGAAAATTTACGTCATCGAAGCGCGGCGGCGGAAAATGAGAAAGCAAGGGCTCTGGCCTTCGCTACTGCGCAGACTCTTAACAGTGAATAGGGCAAGCCAATGCCCCTTATGGTGGCTGTTTTTGAACGTGAAGTTTCGTTTCTTTGCTCATAAAGTGCGGAGGAGAAAAGGAAACTTACAATAACCATCAGAGTGATAGAAATTAATATCAGTAGACCGCTCTCACACTCCACCTTTCGCTCAGTCCTTTCTCGGGGTGGAGACTAGGCAGATACTATTGCTATTTTACAGATGAATTAACATTGGCCCCTAGAAAGCCGCAGATGCAGGGTTCGGAGCAGATTCAATGAACGAGCACTGGAATGAGGGGGTATACGGGATGGTGGAGAAAGTTGACATGGTGAAACGGGATGTTATTGCTGCCAAAGGTGAAATCTTGTGGGATCTGAAAAGCTGACGAGAATAGAGAACGTTTGCACGTAATAACTAATGGCGTTACTGCTACTGTGGACGAAACTAAGTATACGTTTATTATCCGCTCCCCAGCTATTTGAAGTTGATAGACTTATTTTTACGGTCACAGAGAAACAGCGGGGCCATGCTGCCAACCACTCAGCTTTTTTGGAGAGGCAGTATCAAATAATAGTTTTAATAAGTGTTCCTTGCCAGGGTTCAAATTGTAAGTCTATTGTTAACTACTATAACCCTGGGCAAGTTGACCTATGTGCTTCACATTACTCACCTGCAAAAAAAAAAAAAAAAAAGTGGGGGAATGCGAATGAGAAACCTGTGTATTATGAGGGATAAAAATGAGTTTTTATATATACATATAACGCTTAGAACAGTGCCTGGCATGGAGTAAGCACTATTTAAGTGTTTGCATATTATTATTTTGTTTCCTTTTGCTTTAGAGGGTGGTAGGCACTGTAACTCCTATGCAGGCTCTTAGGCTTCTTTGTAGCTTCTCACATTTTTTTTTTTTTTTTTTTTTTTTTTAGCAGTGATACATCTTAGTCTCACTTTGTACTACCATGTACTCAATAAATACTTGAAGAGGGCCTACTGTGTCCAGGAATAATTTGAGTGCTGGAGAAATGAGGTAGACAAGATCCCTTCTGTCAAGGAATTTATATTCTTTTTGGAAGAGACAAAAAAACCCTAAACCAAATAGAACAATTTCATACAGTGGTAAGTCTATCTGAGAATAGGAATGCTATCTTAATAGGGGTAGTTGCAGGAACAGGTGACTTTGTAGAGGTGACATTTAAGTAAAATAAATCTTTGATGTTAAGCAGGAGCAACTTTGATGCCATCTGGAGGAGAGGAAAAGTGTTTCAAGCAGAAAGAGTAACACATGCAAAAATGAGATGGGATGCGGGCTCCACATGGTCTGGAGATAGAAATTGTGAAGAAGGAGGAAAGTAGACAGAAATGATTAATTTTCAGAATCGTCAAGATTACAGTGTACAAACCACTTAAATTCTTTAACAATTTTTTTAGTGCAGTTCCACACCAAAACTCCTGATTGATAAATTCTTCATTTAAATCCTTGGGTTCTTTCAGTGGCAGTTTGATAAATTTTCCCTTCAGTGATGAAATAGAACTTTATTGAAATAGTCTGTTATTTCCTGCAAGGCAGCTTGGTAGTGGAAAGAGAATGGACTTTGACTTCAGATAAACTTCAGCTCAAATGGACTTGGAGTAAGCTAAATAATCTTTCTGATTTTGGGGTTCTGTATCTTCAGGTTGGAGATAATAATTATGCTGTGTTAAGTGGTCTGAATGAAAGCATCTAATTAAACATTTTGGACATTGTAGCTATTCAGATGTTAGTTTCCTCTTTCCTTGTTGGTTTGGCGAAGGTTCCCATGAAACTGCCCAAACTCAGCATGACAGATTGCTTTTCTGAGACTGCTGCTTGATTACTTTGCTTTCCTTCCACTTTTGTTGAATTTCCACTGTTCTTTTTCTACTTTCACTTTTATATTGTAATTTTAACACTCCTGTTTTTGCCATTTTATTTTCGAGTTAATCCAAAGATGTATGACCCACCTCTACTTAATATGCATAACATCGTAAAACATATCTACTTTACAGCCTTGTGTTTATAAGAAAGTTTTGAATGCCAAAGGAAAATTTGTTTCATGAAAAATAGGTTTGGAAGTTTAAGAAGAGGTTCAGATAATGTAATACATTCTGTTCTTTTTTTTTTTTTTTGATGGAGTCTCACTCTGTCACCCAGGCTGGAGTGCAGTGGTGTGATCTTGGTTCACTGCAACCTCAACCTCCCAGGTTCAAGTAATTCTCCTGCCTCAACCTCCCGAGTAGCTGGAACTATAAGCATACACCACCATGCCTGGCTAATTTTTGTATTTTTAGTAGAGACAGGGTTTCACCATGTTGGCCAGGCTGGTTTCAAACTCTTGACATCAGGTGATCTGCCCACCTTGGCCTCCCAAAATGTTGAGATTATAGGTGTGAGCCACAGCATCTGGCCTTACCTTCTGTTCTTAAAAAAAGAGTAATTCGGAATCAGTATATTAATCTGAATGATCTGTCTAAAAATAACCTAGTTCTCAACAAACTATTTGAGTGTGCATTCTCTTTATTGAACAGCAGTTGCTTTGTCTGACCAGCATTCTTCTATTTCTTGGAGAAATGCCCTTGCCTGACCCCATGTAATTCTAGTGTTAATGTTAATAGCCAACATGGCTATGACCAGGTTCTACTAGTTATGGAACTCTGTCCTGGTCTCCACATTAACTGTTTACCCAGCTAGGATCCAGCAGTTTCTCAGTCTTGACATGTGAACCCTGAGAGGGAGAAGGTCTTCCTTTCTCTTGGTTTATATACTCTAAAGACCATGCAAGTCTAGAACTGTCAGGAGCCATTTTAGTACCACATGGAGAGAACTTGAAGATAAAAAATGAGAGACGGGGCAGCAGAACTGAGAAGAGAGAGAAGTGGAGTCTTTACGTAAAGTTATTAGTTTGCTCCCCTTGGACTTCCCAGTCTGGCGAGCCAATACATTTGAGTTGGTCTTTGTAAAAGAGTGTCCAAAGGAATTCTAATACATTTCTACTAGAGTGTAAAGTCCGTGTCATCTTTTTATTTATTTATTTATTTTTGAGACACAGTCTCGCTCTGTTGCCCAGGCTGGAGTGCAGTGGTGCGATCTCGGCTCACTGCAACCTCCACTTCCCAGTTTCAAGCAATTCTTCTGCCTCAGCCTCCCAAGTAGCTGGGACTACAGTCATGTGCCACCACGCCTGGCTAATTTTTGTATTTTTAGTAGAGACGGGGTTTCACCATATTGGTCAGGCTAGTCTGGAGCTCCAGACCTCTTGATCTGCCCACCTCAGCCTGCCAAAGTGCTGGGATTACAGGTGTGAACCACCGCTGCCCGGTCTAAGTCCATGTCTTCTTAACTTTTACGGCATCCACTAAGACTGGTAGTGAACCTTGTGAATAAGAGGATGAATGGCCTATAACAGCACATCTGGTGAAATAATTAATGGGTAAAGGCTGGGCATGGTGGCTCGTGCCTGTAATCCCAGCACTTTGGGAGGCCAAGGTGGCCAGATCACTTGAGGTCAGGAGTTTGAAACCAGCCTGGCTAACATGATGAAACCCCATCTCCACTAAAAATGCAAAAATTAGCTGGGCATGGTAGTGTGTGCTGGTAGTCCCAGCTAATCAGGAGGCTGAGGCAGGAGAATTGCTTGAACCCGAAAGGTGGAGGTTGCAATGAACTGAGATTGCACCACTGCACACTTTGGGAGGCCAAGGCAGGCAGATCACTTGAGGTCAGGAGTTCAAGACCAGCGTGGCCAACATGGTGAATCCTGTCTCTACTAAAAATACAAAAATTAGCCAGGCATGGTGGCACGCACTTGTAATCCCAGCTACTCGGGAGGCTGAGGGTGGAGGATTGCTTGAACCTCGGAGGTGGAGGTTGCAGTGAGTGGAGATTGTGCCACTGTACTCCACCCTGGGCGACAGAGTGAGACTCCATCTCAAAAAAAAAAAAAAAAAAGAAAGAAAGAAAAAAAAGAAGAAAAAATGGGTGGATGAATGAACAAATGAAACCTTACCATTTTACTTACCATAAGTCTGCTGTACAATTTTTCTGTATAGAATTTAGTGTACCAAAAATTATCCTAGAAAGAAATAATATGAAATGTTAAGAATGGTTATCTCTGAATGGTAGGATTCTGGGAAAAGATTTTTTTTTCATTTTGATATTTTTTCTTTATGAACTTTCCAAATCTTCTGTAAAGCATGTGAATAGCTTTTATTATCAGAAAAAGTTAAAAACGCATTGTCTTTTTTTATTGTTCTGCTGTATTTGGCTATTTGTTTATTTAAGGGAATTTTTACTTTCAACTACCTTTTAACAAAGACATTTGTTTTATTGTTTTTTAAGATTCAAACTGGAAACCACTTATCAGTTAATATGTTGAAAAGATTTTATGTATTGACAGCTGAACACTAATATGTCAAATGTAGTGCAAATTTGCCTCACATGTTTTATTGGAATTATAGATTTTTGAGTCCATTAAATTATCTACTCCATCTCTAGCTTCCTTGGATATTGAAAAGAGCTTTTCCTTTCACTCTTCTTGTATCATTTATTATATCCAGAAAGCTATATGTGATCTCTCATCATGATTTTAAGCCTTGCCAATATATTTAGAGGAATAAAAAATTATCAGTTTTCAGCTTATCAAAAATACAACAAATTAGAGGGGAAGGCAGGGAAGGAACATTTCATTTCACTTTACTCAGATTATGCATATGGCTCTGTCTTGGACACATCACTGATGCTATTGGATCTATTCTCACCTATTAAAAGAAGATTCATGCTTACTGATAGAAATCTGTAGAAAATTATGTTGTTAAATGTCTAAGCCATAAATATGATCTGGAAAAGTTACTTGTCAATTAGTTTTCTACAAATAAGTAGAATGTTCTATTGTGACTTAAATTAATTGTAATGTAAACAACTATTACAGGGTTGTTTAGTAGGCAAAATAATGACCTCTTTTAAAGATGTCCCTGTTCCAATCTCTGGAAACTGAATATGTTGCCTTATGTGACAAAAGTTATTTTGCAGTAGTGATTAAATTATGGATTTTGAGACAGGAAGGTTATCTTGGATTAGCTGGATGAACCCAAGAAGGATGCAGTAGAGTGACAGAAGTGAGGATGATAGAAGCAGAGGTCAAAAAAGAGAAGGCCAGTTGCAGTGGCTCACGCCTGTAATCGCAGCACTTTGAGAGGCCTAGATGTGCAGATCACCTGAGGTCAGCAGTTTGAGACCAGCCTGGCCAACATGGTCAAAACCTGTCTCTACTAAAAATACGAAAATTAGCTGGTCAGTTATAGGACGATAGAAAGTTGGGAAGACTGTGACTCATATAGCACATGCCCTACCTAAAGGATTCAAATATTGTTAAAACTCTGAGAGAAAAACAAAACAGAGCTTGTTACCCTGTTTATTCTTCCCTCATAACCTCTATCACCCTCAAAATATCCAAATAGACTCATTCTGAGTACACACAGTATGATTACCAAGCAAATGCAGCCTTCTGAGTTCTTTAGTCCCTTTCAGCCAGATTATTGATTTCAAACTCTTCCTGTTTATAAATTCCAGAACATCTACCTAAGGAATTCATCTTTATCCAAACTCTTTCAACTTTTAAATGTGATCCACTGACCAGCAGCATCAGCATCACCAGAGAACCAGTTAAAATGCAAACTCTCTGGTCCTGTCCCAAACAAACAATCTGAATCAGAAACTGTTTCACAAGCCCTCCAGCAACACCTCCAGGTTTGTTTGTTTGTTTGTTTGTTTTTTTAAGACGGGATCTTACTCCGTCACCCAGGCTGGAGTGCAGTGGCACAGTCTAGGCTCACTGCAACTTCCATCTTCTGGTCCCTGCCTCAGACTCCTGAGTAGCTGGGACTACAGGCATGTGCCACCAAGCCCAGCTAATTCATTGTATTTTTGGTAGAGATGGGATTTTGCCATGTTGGTTAGGCTGGTCTCCAACTCCTGACCTCAAATGATCCGCCCACCTCAGCCTCCCAAAATGTTGGGATTACAGATGTGAGCCACTGCTCCCAGCCCTCCCCCCACCCGGTGATTCTTATACACATTAAAGTAAGAGAAGACCTGATCTAAATTTCTAGGAAAGAGAGATATATTTAATCTTATCCAGCTCTAGGATTCCCTGTCTGTTTTGTGTAAAATATGCTGGCAGGTGTCCTTCACTTCCCTGTTGCCATAGGACATTGCCAACTGCATGCTTACAGATTTCCTGAGTTAGGTGAAATTCCTGCTACATGCTAGGCACTGTGATTGGTGCTAGCAAAGTTCAGTAGAATGTACTTCCCTACAATGTTTGATAACTTGCTCTTCCCTCATTTTGTAGAAGGAGCGCTTTCAGTGACAATCCAATCTTGAGGCATATTTTAACATCATGATTTTATAAACTCATAGACAATTTTAAGAACAATTTTAGGTTAAAAGAAAAATTGAGTAGAAAGTACACAAAGTCTCCATATTCCTTCCCCCACCACCACACAACCTCCTCCACCATCAACAGCCCTCACCAGTGTAGTACATTTGTTACAGTGAACCAGTATTTGTTATCTCTCTTTTACAGATGCCCGTGTCACAAGGTATGGACAGAATGAGTAAAAATTGTCCAAGTCTGCACAGCTAGTAGGCTGTAGAACCAGGATTCATACCCACACAGCCTGACTTCAGAGACTGTACTCTGCCACACTGTGCTGCTTCTTGTAAGTGGGAATCCATTTCTATGGCAAGTGTATTCTCTTCATTCTTAACACCGAACTGGGTTATTGCCTATCTCTCTGTGAGGATCTTAACTTTTCTCATTTGATTACTTTGCCATCTGACATCTATGTAGAGAATAAAGCTGCTATTATTAGATTATCCAAACTCAATTTCTCATGCTTTAACTTGACACACAGTTAGAAGTATAATGATGAAGTAGGGCTCATTAATGCAGAGATATATGAAGTCTGACTACAATTCCAAAGCTAACATGCAGGCAAGAGTGAAGGTGATATTGAGCTTTTATCACAAGCAATAAGAGTAGTCATATGTGCAGAAGTGGCTGTGGTTCTTCATGGAGAGGCTCTTACAGAATGTGTCATTTGTACAACCTTAGCCACTCTCCATTAGCCCACCTCCCAGGGATGCTGTACCCATATATTGATCAACTCTTTACTCAAATAAATGACTTAAGAGAAAAAGTTCCTATTTTCTATATATTTGTTCTCACCCTGCTTGTTTCTTCCTAAAGTTGTCTAGCAAGGAAGGCTTTGGCTGTTTCAGGGGCAGCAGCTTCAGCAGAAGTAGGAGAACACCAGACAATGCTGACTCTCCCGTGAGGTGACCATAGACAGCCTAGGCTAGAAGGTGGCATTAGGTAGGTATGTTTCTTTTCTTTATCTTTTTTTTTTTTTAGAGATGGGTCTCACTGTGTCACCCAGGTTGGTCTCAAACCCCTGGCCTCAAGTGATCATCTCAGTTTAGCGTCCTGAGTCACTGGGATTACAGGTGTGAGTCACAGTGTCTGGCTCAAGGGTACAGTTCTCTAGCAAGCAATATGATATTATTTTGAGATAGTATTTCAGTGGTAAGAGACCCCTAAGATGGCCCCCAATGATTCATACCTCCTGGTATTTAGGGCCTTATGTAATGCCTTCCACTTGAATGATTTACTTGTAATGAACAGAATACCTCAACATTAAGGGGATGGCACTTCTGTTATTTGATGAGAAAATATAACTTCGATCACATTAGCAGACTCCCTCTCTTGTTGAATTTCATAAAGCAAGTTTCCATGTTGTGGAGGACCCACATGGCAAGGAACTGAGGGTTTTCTGCAGCCAGTTGCCCGGTAAATATTTAAGACCTCAATATACACCTCAAAGGGAATTGAAGCCTGATGGTAATCACAGAAATGAGCTTGTTGAGTTTCCTGTGTTGAACTTTTAGATGAGACTTAAGCCCTCACTGACATCTTGATTTAAGTGAGACCCTTAAGCAGACCCCATTAAGCTGTGTCTGGATTCCAGACTCACAGAAACCATGAGATAACAAGTATGTGCTGCTTTAAGCTGCTAAGAAGCAAAAGATGACTAATGCAACTTTTAGCACAAACTCTTCTCAGGTGGGCATTACTTATAAATCTCATAATTCACTAGACTATTCTCATCTTGATTATAGTATAAATAAAATTCCTACTTGCCATTTTTTCAACATTTGAGGTTATCAAGATGTTGGTAATGCCAAGTATGGTGGTGTGCACCTGTAATCCCAGATACTCAGGAGGCTGAGGCAAGAGGATTGCTTGAGCCCAAGAATTCAAGACCAGCTTGGGCAACATGGCAAAACCCTATCCCCACCAAAAATACCGAAATTGGCCAGGAGTGGTGGCACACACCTATAGTCCCAGCTACTTGGGAGGCTGAGGTAGGAGGATCACCTGAGCCTGGGGAAGTTGAGGCTGCATTGAACCATGATCATGCCACCGCACTCCAGCCTGGGTGACAGAGTGAGACCCTGTCTCAAAAAAAGAAAGTTTAATAGTGGGAGTTTCCTTTAATTTTTGTTTCTAGTATTACTAATAAAATAATATTTGTAACGAGTAAAAATTTGTAAGAATTCAGTCATTTATATAAGTATTATTTGTGAATCTACTATGTGCCAGGCTCTATCTTAGGCACTGGGATGATGTAAACAAAATAGAACAGGTCACTTGGAGCCTATATTATAGAGACAGGTAGACAATAAAGTAATCAAGAAACAATCAATAATGCCTGGTAATGAGAGGTGATGCAAAGAAAAGTTAAGCCGGGTGAGAGAGGGTGGCCAAGAAGTCACTATGCAGTAGTGTAATCAGGAGAGAGGCCTCTTTGATGAGGGGGCATTTGAGGAAACCTGAAAATGTGAGGAGTCAATAATTAAGTAAATGGCCCGGGCACAGGGCCGTAACCCCAGAACTTTGGGAGGCCGAGGTGGGTAGATCACCTGAGGTCAGGAGTTCAAGACCAGCCTGGCCAACATGGTGAAACCCTGCATCTACTAAAACTACAACAATTAGCCAGGTGTGGTGGCAAGCACCTGTAGTCTCAGCTACTCAGGAGGCTGAGGCAGGAGAATCGCTTGCACCTGGAAGGTGGAGGTTGTGGTGAGCCGAGATTGTGACACTGCACTCCATTCTGGGCTGCAGAGTGAGACTCTGTCTCAAAATAATAATAATAATGATAAACTAAGTGGACTTTAGTATTCAAAATGACTGAGAGGGCTGTGAGAAAGTTTCCTGGAAACATAGGGCAACTGAGTTTTGACGGGGTCAGTGACTTCTTTGAGGTTCTTGGATGAGTCTTTAGCATATCTAGAAGTGGTCTTATGGGAGGGAGTTTAATGGATTAAGAGTTCAGCCTTCAGAGCTAACCTGCCTGGTTTAAATTCCAATTCTGCAACTTACCAGCTGGGCAACCTTGGGCAAGTTGTAAACCTCTTCAAAAAGCAAAAAGCAGGGCTAATTATACCTTTTGCCACAAAGTGGCCTGGAAGATTAAATAAGTCAATGTGTAATAAACACTTAGAACAGGCCTGGTCCCATATTTAGCAAAAATAAACATTAACTACTATTGTTAATGAGTTTCCTGCATGCCAATATTTATTATTTATTAGAGGACATCAACACAGTCTGCTGTCCACAGGTATAATGATGTACCTTTTTTTTTGAGATGGAGTTCTGCTTTGTTGCTCAGGCTGGAGTGCCACGGCATGATCTTGGCTCACCTCAACCTCCACCTCCCAGATTCCAGTGATTCTTCTGCCTCAGCCTCCTGAGTAGCTGCGATTATAGGCATGCACCACCACGCCCAGCTAATTTTGTATTTTTAGTAGAGAGACGGTTTAGTAGAGAAAGGGTGTCTTCATTTTGGTCAGGCTAGTCTTGAGCTCTAACCTCAGGTGATCCACCAGCCTTGGCCTCCCAAAGTGCTGGGATTACAGGCATGAACCACCATGCCCAGCCATGACATACCTTTTAAAATAGGAAGGGTATAGCCTTCAAAATTGCAAGTCTAATGTTCTAAGTAACTTTCCTGGCCTCTAGGAAAGTTTCAGCCCAAAGACCCAGAAATAGCTTCCCAGACACATTAGGTCTTTTACACATCTGGATACATTATTAAAGTAAAAGTATGCAGAAGTGGATGTCAAAGGTTTTTTTTTTTGAAATCAGCCAAAAACGTTACACATTTTTAAATGTCATTTCTGGTGTGGCTCAGGGCATAGGCTTTGGCATCAGACAGCCTTGGGCATAGATCTTGGCTGGGAAAACTGTGATGTCTTCGATATGGAATCTTACCTCTTGTCTTAGATAACTCATGCTTCTATATAATAAAATACCACAAAGTGGGTGGCTTAAGCAACCAACAGAAATTTATTTCCCACCATTGTGGAAGCTGGAAAGTCCAAGATCAAGGGACTGGTTTGCGTTGGGCCACCTTCTTGCTGTATTCTCAGATGGTGGAGAGAAAGACTTGCTCTTGTGTCTCTTCTTAGAAGGGTACCCCTCTGACCTAATTACCTCCTAAATGCACTAACCTCCAAATACCATCACATTGGGGATTATTAGAGGATTATTTTGAGAGAAATACAAACATTGTCAATAGCATCTCTCTAAAACGGAGATGTTACAGCTGATGCTCAGAGTATTTATTATATGCCAGACACTGTTCTAAGATGTTTTCATTTATTAATTTGTTTAATCTTCACAATCCCTTTACACTCCACTTTACAGATTAGCAAAATGAGGCAGAGATTAAGTTACTTTTTCAAGGTCACCTGGACATTTAAGTGATAAGGTCAGGATCTGGTTCAGGTCTGTGTGCTTAAGTCACACACTGCTGCCTCTCGATGATAACAGTTTCTACCTTGTAGATAAGCACTCAGCACAGTGTGAAACATGAAGCAAGTGCTCAATATATATTTGTTGAATGAGTTACTTTGCTAAGTCATAGTAAATTATAACATAGTAAATAGAATATTTGTATACTCTGCTATGACTAAATAATTCAAATTGTCATTTTTTTAGGTTCTCTGACGTGTACGATTGCAGCTTTGCAAGTATTTCCAAAAAATACCCTATTTTGATAGGACATTATGTTATCTAGTAAGATTCAACTGTGCTGAGCCCATGCTGAGGCCTAATCAGCACCTCTTACATTTCTAAATGATTACAGACTATCCGATCACCTGTCTTAGAATTTTGTCAGCAATCAGTATGAAGCTCTTCAGTCTTTTTCTTTCTTTAACAGCCTCACTTGACCATTTTTTGTTTTTCTTTTTCTTTGCAAAGAAAGAGGTTTAATCATTAAGCCGGCCCAACTAGGAGACAGGAGGAAACCTCAAATCCATCCCCTCAATGATTTCGGGCAAAGGCTTTTAAGGGTTTGAGAGTGAGCTGAAGTGCAGAGATCATTGATTGGTTGAAGAGTCCAGGTGGAACCTGGGACAGGGAGATAAAGAAGCTGTATTCTCATGCTGATTCCATTCCTCTGTGCAGGTCTTTAATCTGATTAGTGTCAGCTGTTTCTCTGAATTCAGTATTTAGTGTACAGTATTTGCATTTTTTGGAATTTAGAGGAAATTCTGATTCGCTTTAGGATGAAAATTGGGTATACTTCATTAGTGATGAAGACCATTAAAAATTTCCTACATAATGTTAATTTTTTATTAAAGCAATGAGATGACTATATTGTACTTGAAGAGCGTTTGAATTGTACAGCTAGCGACTGGCTCCTATTTCAGGCCATAACTCTATATCAAATTGTGGGTCTGATCCAACATAAAATGAGATTACTCATCTGTCAGAGGAAAAGCTCCAACAGGAAAATTTAGGTAGCATGTGAATCATATAATATGACATTCTTCTGCCCTGCAAATAAATCCGATTTAACTAAACCATATGTTTTAAAGGAGTTTAAAAAATGAAAATGTAAAAGTTTTCATATATCTAACCCCTTGACCAATTATATTTTTCATACATTTGAATTTCTCAGAGTTATAATTGGATTTTGGGAATAAGTCAGTCATTTTCTTTGTGGCAAGCTCTTCCCACTGCATTTTTTAAATTAAATAATTTGTGATCGTTTAAACATGGCAAAGAAATTGAGCTATGTCTGCTTTTGTTGTTGTTGTTGTTTTGTCTAGATGGTATTGCCTGAATCAAAAGTTAGTAGTAAAAGTTCTGAAATGTTAAAATGTATAGTTCATGATCTCCCTTCTTAAAATTTCTAGGAGTCAATTGCATTGTTAGGAGATGAGAATTAAACTTCATTACTTCAGTGGTCAGGTTAGCATTTTATCTCTGCAGTTTACTTTTAAAATAATGATAATTTGCTTCTGTTGGGGAGTTTCAGCTCAATAGCCAGAATTGTCCAAATGCAGTGGCTCAGGCCTGTAATCTCAGCACTGTGGGAGGTCCATAGGGGAGGATGGTTTGAGCCGAGGAATTGGAAATCAGCTTGGACAACATAGCAAGACCTTGTCTTTATAAAAAAAAAAAAAAAAGGGCTAGCCAGGTATGGCATGCACCTGTGGTTGCACCTATTTGGGAGGCTGAGGCAGGGGTATCCTTTGAGCCCAGAAGTTAGGTTGCAGTAAGCCATGATTGAAAAAAAACCACACAAAAAACAAAAAACACATCCCCAAAACCCAGCTAGTATCAGGGTACCACTGATATGGATTCAGTTTTAGTCACAGAACTTTCAGGCTGTACAATACCCCCATGTTTCTTTTCTGTTTTTGCTTTTGGTATGCTGAGGGCTACAGATGAGTCACAGAGCAACTGCAAAAGATGGAGGTGGTAGGAGAAAAAAAACAAGAGAGAGCAGCTCTTGTTTGCTCTTAGGGGAACATTAGTTTCTTGTCTGAGGGTTTAAAGTCTGTGAGTATGTGTATGTAAGTGTCTCTGTGTATGTTTGTGGAATCTAGATAGACTTACATCTCCTTGTGAAAACTGATAAATATTGAGTCTCTTAATTTTCTGTATCATTTAATATCGTCTGTCTTCTTGAAATACTTTTTTCTGTTGGCTTTAGTGATCTTCTCAAAGTACCTTTTTCTCTTGACTTTAGTGACTTGTTATACTTCTGTTTTTTCTACCACTTTGGATATTCCTTTTCAGTTCCTTTTGGGGATTCCTCTTCCTCAGTTCATCTCTTAAATGCCAGTGTTTCATGGGATTCTGTCCTAGAAAAATGTCTCCTTTTATATACTTTCTTTAGTTTTCCACTTCCATGGTTTCAATTGCCAGCAATATACTGATGACATCCAAATCTATTTTACCAGCCTAGATGTTTTCTCCGGGCTCTGAATGTCTCCAGATGTTCCAGGGACATTTCAAATTCACTGTGTCCACAACCGAACTCGATCTTTCTTCTAAACTTGTTCTTCCTTGTGTTCCCTTGAGTGAATGGCAACACCCCAGTAGCTAGTAAACCACAGTATCATTCTTGATTCCTCCCTCACCACACCCACTCCTCATAAATCTCCAAGTCCAGTTGAGGCCACCTACTAAACACTTAACCTATGTGTTTTCTCCAATTTTATTCTCACTACCATAATTCAAGTCACTGTCATCTTTTGCCTAAATTATTCTATCAGCCTCCAACCTAACCTCCTAGTCTCCAGTGTTGCCTTCTAATAGTTCATTTTCTACATCTTGTATGATGTTTCTAAAACACAAGGCATGGTGGCTTGTGTCCATAGTCCCACCCACTGGGGAGACAGGTGGGAGAATCACTTGAGCACAGAGTCCAAGGCTGTAGTGAGCTGTGATTGCACCACTGCACCCCAGCCTCAGCAACAGAGTGAGACCTCATAACCCCAAAAGAAAACAAAACACGAATCTAACAATGCTGCTTTATATATAGCCCTCCTATGGCTTCCCATTGGTTTTATGATACCTTCCAAACCCTGTGCCATGGCTTACAATGCTTTTTATAATCTAGTTTCTATTTCCTCAGACCCATCTGTAAAAACTTTCCTATTTATCTAATCTTCAACTTTATTGGATTATTTTAAGTTACTCAGAGGTACCAAATTCTCTCTTAACTTCAGCTATTTGCATTAGGGTTACCTGCCTGAAAGACTTTCCCCCACATTTTATGTTTGGCCAACTCCTAAGCATTCTTGAGGTTACATCTTAGAGAAAGCAAAAAGCCTTTCCTGAAACCCCAGACCTGGTTAAGCCCCCACTGTGCTCCTGAGGATTTGATACTTCCTCCATCTTCACATATATGGTGTGGATTAAAGTGGCATGTTTGCCTGGCTGTATTTCCCTTTAATCTCTCCTGTATTCGCTTTTCAGTCCACACTGCCTGGGCCTGGAATATGGAAGGAGCTTAGTAAATATTGAATGAGTGAATGAATGAATGCATTAATGAGAGAAGAGTGGGAAGAGGATGAAGATGGGAACATGTTTACCTGGAGCCACAAGCCTAAATGGCACCACATAGCAAAAGTAATCTTCATTGCCACCTATGCATTCCTTCCATATTCCAGGCACTGTTCAAAGCAACTCCCAACAACCTGGACAAGATGAGGATTCTGATGCTTAGATAAATAAGGTAACTTGGCAAAGTCAGACATTTATTAGTTTGATGTTTTCTCTTCTTTAGTGGGGAAGCTGTGCATGTTCAGGACAGTCTAACAAGATAGACTACTAGTCATATTTTGCATATAGGTAAGACTAACATGATTATGACAGACTTCCAGTGTGAGGCTTCCGATTCTCTGAAACTAACAAATAAATGAATTAAATCATTACATTAGAAAATATTTTGTAAAAAAAAGAAAATATTTAAAATAAACATACATCTTTGACATGAGAAAATTGTTTTCAAATTTTTTTTTGTTCCAGATGGAGTCTCACTCTGTCACCGAGACTGGAGTGCAGTAGTGCAATCACGACTCAGTGCATGCAGCCTTGACCTTCTGGGCTCCAGTGATCTTCCCACTTCAGCCTCCTGAGTAGCTTGGACTATAGGGGTGCATCACCATGCCCCACTTATTTTTTAATTTTTTTTGTAGAGACAAGGTGTTCCTATGTTGTCCAGGCTGGTCTCCTGAGCTCAAGTGATCCTCCTGCCTTGGCCCCACAAAGTGCTGCAATGACTCAGGTGTGAGCCATGGCACCTGGCCAGAGAAAACTGTTAAACAGAATTAATTACTCTCCAGAACCTTTAGTTGACATTATATAATGGAAATGTGAAACATTTCAATGAAACTACCTTCTTTCCTTTAAAATAGTTTCAAAGTCTCCTTGAGAAGGACAGATGGTGTTTCAATCATCTACAATAATGTGAAGGACACCAAAGTCAGGTGAGGTGAGGCAAAGAACCAAGTACGATAGAGCCAGGCTAGTGATTTAAGATGCATTAAGACATTTGTTCAGAATTGGAAAATTTTACAGGATCCAAAAAAACCTCACAACATATCTAGCCATCCAAAATATATTTCACAAGCTTCTCAGTGCACTCAATTTTTCTTTAGGAGATTAGTCAATGTTTTGGTAATCAGGCTTTGAGAAGCCAATTTAAAACTCTGCTTTTCACAGAGAAGGTGATCAGTGCATATTTGTTGATGGAGTGGCTTTAGATGGCAACACTTTGAGCTTTGCCCTGAGGGAAATACATGCTGGTTGATTAACATTGTGTAAAAATAAATTCATAGCAGTTAGAACTGAAAGTAATTACACAAAATTTAAACCAGCAAAGATATTAGAGTGGTGGTATTTTTCCCCCTTAATTTTATGGAAATGTTATATGTTTCATAGACAAAAGTTGGGAAGAAATACAAGGTTTGCCTAGCACCGTGTGCAAGGGGCAGGCTTAAGCATCTGGCTTATGTCCAGGTGAACTCTGCAAAAGCAGCCCTGTGGACTAGAGTAGGTAGCTTCACCCTGTGGCCACACCCCTCAGGCTTTGATGTCTATTTTGGCTTGTTGTGACACCAGTTAACAAGATCTCATTCTGTCCCAAGCTATAAAGCAAACTGATCATTTGATTAGCCCACACTCTGCAAAAGCCCTATGCCCAGTGCACAGTCACATGCACATATTTGGTTGTGCGTGTCCAGTATTTAACAGCCTCCAGCAGAGCCCAGGGGCAGAAATAGAGATGTTCCCTTAGGTTGAGCTCTACCCAACCCTTCTCTGTGGGTGTCAAACTGCTCAGAAAGAAGTAGGCAGAACAGCTGGAGTGAGGCAGAGCTGTTGGCAGCAGAACATGATGTCAGAACCCACTTGGCAAAGAGCGCCATTGGTAGTTACATTGAGAGTGCCAGGGCTTTTCAAGCTGTGCAAGAGAGAATGCTTGTGGGTGGGTGGGTAGAACAAAAAGGCAAAGGGAACAACGCAAGCCCATTTCCAAGGAGGGGTGAGAAATAAGCAACAAAGAAGATGCTCTAGGATATGTGATGTGTTAGTGGCTGTTCTGGGGGTGACACCATCTGTATTAAGTGAGCTACCTACAAATAAGGTAAGTTGAGGGCTTGCTTGAGGAGCTTTGTGTGAGACACGGTTCTTAAAATGCCACAATGGGCTTTGTGGGCTTGCTATGACTCCACACAGGGTCAGAGAGGAATGCAGGGCTCCTAGCATCTCTGCAACAGCACCGTCTTGGAACAATAGGGAAACGACTTGCTAGAGCCACAAGGCTCTCCTGTGACTTCTGGACCTGAAAAGCGCTTCATGACTATCAGGAAGGCATGATTGTGGCATCCCAGGAATGCACCAGGCTTGCCAAAGCAGAGTAATAGTCCAATTTACCAGACATGATCCCGTGAAAATAAGAATCTAAATATGAATGAATGACTTCCTGGAGACAGGAAATATTAATATTTAGTCTATTGCCTCCATATCTGTGGGCATTGTTTCTTCCTTTTGCCCTTTTTTCCTACCCATCCACCCACTTATCATCCTTTTCTAGCAGCCTAAAAACAAGCAATGGGTCCCCCAAAAGCCAAACAGTTTCCTAGCTAGAAAAATACCTAATAAATGTTTATCTCAGTCCTTGCTACAAATCCCACCTCCTTCTGCTTATTTGTATCACTTTGATACATATAATATCAAATTCTGTAGCTAATTTCCATATTGTGCTCTGTTTTATTACATTTAGTCTCTTCCCAATCACAAAATAAAAATTCCTTAAGGATTCCTTAAAGATGACAGTGTGCATTACGCATTAGCTGAGGCTGCTATAACAAAATACCATAGACTGAATGGCTTTGATGATGAACGTTTATTTCTCACAGTTCTGGAGGCTGGGAGTCTGAGATCAGGGTGCTGGCATGGTCGAGTTCTGGTGAGGGCTTACTTCCTGCTTGCAGATGGCTGCCTTCTTGATGTGTCCTCACATGGCAGAGAGAGAAAGAGCTCGGGACTCTTTCTCTTCTTATAAGGACGCTAATCTCAAGATGGGGGACCCACCCTCATGACATTATCTAAACCAAATTACCTTCCCAAAGGTCCCACCTGCAAATGCCATCACATTAGAGTATAGGGTTTTAACATATGAGTTTTGGGGGGAACATATATTCAGTCTATTACAGGAATCATCTTTTATTAATTGCCATTCTATCTAATGCATAAAGGGTGAACTGTGGGCAATATAGAGTTAATATGGACGATATAGAGTTAACTATGGACAATACAGAGTTAATGTTAAGTGTTTTTTATTTCTTTAGTGCCTAACACAATACACTTGCAATCAGATTTTAGAAACCTTTTGTTGATTTACTAGGTAACTCTGTATGTTAATGAAAGTTTGTGCTTTTTATTTTGAATCTATTAGGTGACATAAAGTGGGGAGTTCCACAACTATTTGGTGAATCTGGATTAAGTTAATCTACTCTTCAAACCCACTAGGTTGGCTATAATATCAAAGACAGACATAAAAACTGTTGGTAAAGATGTGGAGAAATTGGGACCCCTGCTCATTGCTGGTGGGAAGGTGAAATGGTACAACCACTTTGGAAGACAGTTTGGCAGTTCCTTATAATGTTAAACATAGAGTTACATGCGTTAACAGAGAGTTAAACATATGATCCAGCAAGTCCACTCCTACATATCTACCCAAGAGAAATGAAAACATGCTCACATAAATGCTTGTACACAAATGTTCAAAGATATATTCACAATGGCCAAAATGTAGAAATGATCTAAATGTCCATCAGCTAGAGAAAAAAATAGACAAAATGTACTATAACCATTAAATGGTATGTTATTTAGCAATAAAGAGGAATTTTTTATTGATGCATGTTACATGCCACAATATGGATGAACCTCAGAAACATTATGCTAAGTGAAAGAAGCCAGTCAAGAAAGACCACATAGTGTATGCTCTCATTGATATAAAACATCCGAAAAAGAAGAATCTAGAGATGGAAAGTAGATTAGTGATATTGTAGGACTGAGGAAGGAAGGAGATGGTAAGGAGAAAGGGAAATGGAGAGTGGCTGACAGTCGTTCCAAGGTTTCTCTGAGGGATGATGAAATGTTCTAAAATTAGATTATAATGATGGTTGCACAAGTCTGTAATATATCAAAACCCACTGAAATGTATACTTTAAAGGTGTCTACTTAAATTATATATTAGTATTTTATAATATATATATATAATTAAAGAAGTATACACAAATTATATTTCAATAAATTTGTTTTTAAAAAGAGAAAGTGTCCATCCATGTGTCCAAGTTAAGATAAATGCTTTCTTATTTTTATTTTTTAAAGATGGAGTTTCACCATGTTGGTCAGGCTGGTCTCAAACTCCTGACCTCAGGTAATCTGCCCAACTTGGCCTCCCAAAGTGCTGTGATTACAGGCGTGAGCCAACTCGCCCAGCCAATTCTTTCTGAAATGATAGATTTTTTAACAGAGAATCAGAATTTCCCAGTTTCCAGCTTGTGTTCTGCCACTACCTTGGACAAGTGATTTGACTTTTCTTGACATAGTTTTGTTAACATGCTTTCCCGATCTAAATTTTTAATGATGTAACAATAAAACCAATCCCCTATCACTCTTACATTTTTAAAAATATATAAAATATATGTCCTGTGACCCTATGTGTAAAACAATTTATTTTGGATTTACTTATTATTCTAAATACTAGTAATATACATTTGATTAAAACAGCATACATTATAAATTTTGGTAAACCATGCTTACATGACTATTAGTTGGTACAGTCCCCCTGGATGATACACAGAGGGAGCAGTAAGCAATGTTTATTGGGAATTCTTATATCCAAGAGACGGCAGCAAAGCACACAGAATCTCTCAAACTATCATCCCATCAAGAGGGCTCTGTAGGCTTAGGACCCTACTTATGGAAACCTGGGGCACAGAGAGGAGACAGGGGACACTTTCCCAGAGGTTTCCTAGAGGTGGTATGACTGTCTTAGAAAAAGAAAATAGTTGGAGCTCAATGAGGCTGATGTTGACTAGAAGCTGATGGAGTAGGGAGAGAGCCACTGAAGCTGTGCAGTGAGAAAGAGCTTGTTTCTGGTCATCTAAAAAGTAAAATTTATTGGAAACCTATCTTTAATGGGAAGATAGGAGAGGAATGTATTATGGTGCCTTGATCAAAGGAATTGCTGAATTTCCTCTTGATTTGGCAATGTGTGATAGGAGTTAGGATAAGTTAGGAGTCAGCAAGAGATTGTTAAGGTGGGAAAAAAATCTGGAAAGCAGACAATGAAAACAGACCCTTGACCTACTACTAAGTGAAAGAAGCCAATCT